CTCCATGTACCTCAGCTTCTTGCGCTTGTAGGCCTCCTCTACTGCACTCTCCCAGGGGACCGTGAGCTCAATGATGTACATGTGCTTGAGCAGAGCTGACCACAGCACAAGGTCTGGTCGCAGGTTGGTGGATGCGATTTCAGTTGGGAAGCACAGCTTTTGGTTTAAGTCTACCAGGAACTTCCAATCACCTGCCCCACTCAACTGCCCAGCATCTGGTGTTGAGGTGGTGAGACTGGCTTGACCCTCGCCCTCCTGGACAAATGTTGTTGCCTGCCAGTGGGATGATGGGGGTTGAAGGGCGTTCACACTCATCCGTCGCGTTTCCAGCAGTGCTGCAAGACACTTTAGCACCTGGTTGTGTCGCCAGGTGTAACAGCCTTGGGTGAGGCTGGTCTTGCAGCCCACTAAGATGTGCTTCAGTGTTGCTGGAGTAGGGCAGAATGAGCATGTGGGGTCTTCGCCATACCACTGGCTGAGGTTCTTGGGAGATAGCAGGACATCATAGGCAGCCTTAATGGTTCGTGGTTCTTTCAAGAATGATGCATTATCTCACAATTCTTCTTTGAAAAACGCCTCTCCAGCTCAGCTGTGAGACAGTCAAGTATCTGATAAAAGATAGCTCTGTCGAAGCCCTCATCACTATGGTGGTCACTGTACCTCTGTCCAACAGAGCTCATTATTAGCGAGTCGAGAAATCTAGAACTGGCTTTAGGCCGTCTTTTACTTGTTGGTGATTTTGCAGTGCTCTAGCAGTTCTTCGATTTCTTTCCATAGCTCACTAAAATAAGCTTCACTTCTGTAGCCTTGCAATGTGTCTGCCAATTAGATCTACAGCCCTTGCCAGATCAAGACTGCTGGATTGTAGTATGTCAGAGAGGCTTTTGACATCACCTAGCACTTTACCAAAAGTAACCAAAAGCCCTATGAACTGTAAGTCTATCTGAGCCAGAAGACCCTTTGCTTCCACTTTTCTATCACCACTATCCTCAAGAGAAATTTCCTGTAGAAGCCTCAGAATCGCTGGAAGCCTGTCCCTCAGATTGCATGCCCACGTAACATCTGTAAGTCTCTAATTCCCTAGGTCTCTCCTGTGGATAGAGCTCTTTCTGAACAGCAAGCCACTTGATATGAACAGCAGAGTCAGATACAAATTCATAAATGTTCTGCATAAGTACATAAAAGTCATTCTCAGACACTAACTTCACCGCATCAACAAGAACAAAGTTCAAACAGTGTGCATTACAATGCACATAAAATGCAAATCTTGCATCGCTCTTAATGCGTGCACACACCAGAATGCTTCTCTCTCATTACGGATGCACCATCATAGCCTTGCCCGAAAAGATTATTTTTGTAGTGCAGACCATGCTTCTCCAGATACACTATCATTTTAGTCAGACCCTCTGCATCCAGGCTTTCTGCTGACTGGAAGTTAAGGAAGCTTTCATGGATGGCCCCGCAGTAATAGTAACGCACAACTAAAGCTATCTGTTCCTTTTTTTGTAAGTCTTTAGTTTCGTCAGCCAACACACTAAACACCTCACTTTCCTTTACTTCTGCTATGATTTGCTTTTGGACCATAATCACTGGAGAATCTCATTCTGAATTTGGTGGCTGGTATACTTAGCATTGCCACATTCATCTAGTCTTCTCTCAATAAAGGGGTCATGCTTTGCGATTTGATCCAAAATGGCCAAAAAATTGCCCTTATTGTCTGAGTCATCAGATTCCCGATGACCCCTCTGTGCAATATATTGAGTTGCAGTTAAAAGTAGCACCTCAGCAATTGTTTTTATGTAACTTTGATTTTCCTCAACTTTCTTTTTTCTACACTCATTTAAAGGAGACATATTATGCCCCTTTTCAGGTTCATAATTGTATTTTGTGGCTCTACTACAATAGGTTTAGATGTTTTAATGTTCAAAAAACACATTAATTTTCTCATACTGCCTATAGCTGAGCAGCTCTTTTCAGCCTCTCTCTGAATCGATCGGTTTTAGCTCCTGTCTCTTTAAGGCCCCCCTCGAAAAGCCCAGTCTGCTCTGATTGGTCAGCATTATGATGCGGATGATGTGGTTGAGAAATCTCAGATTTGATTGTAGTTTTTGCAAGTTCAACATGGGTTATTGGTCAAAAGTTGAATGAACGAGTACTTATGTCCTTTCGATTTCTTACAGGTTGAGTTGTTGTTGCCCATAACGCGCTAGCATTCTGCTAATGAACTCTGATTGGTCAGTGAAGGACTGATTACGACCAGAGATCCCGCTTGATGGCATCGTGGCATCTGAAGCGGGACCAGAATGTTAAGGAGGATTTTTTCGCAACTTTTTTTGGGTTGCTGGTACTTTTATCTGCCTATCGTTATGTCTGTGTTGTCGATGCCTCGAGAGAAAAGGAAGTGCCGAGCGCGGAAGCACAAAGAGACTCGAGGCTTGCCGTAAAGCAGTATCTCTGGCCGTACGATGTGTATGACGTCATTGACATTTTAAAAGACTTTTTCAAGCAAATAAGTAACTCTAAAAAATCTAACACCCAGCAATGTGTCATTTCTTTGCATCCCCTTTCGAATGCAACATTCAAATTACTAGACAAAAAATTATATCCTGAGAAAAGTGGATTTTGAGGGGTATAGCTCCATAGAGCTCCATTCATTCTGCACTCATCCTGTGAGCGCCCTCACATGGAACCAGAGGGGAACTGCAACAGTTCAGAAGCCGGAAGTTTACCGAGAGTGGAACTTCTCTCCTTATTAGACATTCTCTGCTGCTACTGAGTTTAGCTGCATTTCTACCGTCAATATTAATTCAATAACTGCTTCTAAACCAAAAACTGCACCACCGGACACGTTAGAGCGGGAGTCTGACCTGAAATCACAGAGAAATGAACAACATCAACAACCAGGATTACAGCTTTCTGTGACATGTTCCTCAGGTAAATACAAAAACCTCTATCTATCACATAATGTTAGTGTTTATACCTTAACTATGAAAACCAACACTGTGTTTTATTCTTGTCTTTACAGGTACAGCAGTGAGCAGTGACCTACAGTCTACACAGCCCAGTGAAGTTAAACATATTATATGCCTGGAATACTTTATCCTGTACAACATGTCAACATAACTGAAGGAATTACTCATCTAATAAAGTAACTTGTTTGTGGGGTTTAAAAACTGCTAAGTAACCAACTGTACTGTACTGTATCCATATATCATAGTCTGATATTTGAACTTGAAAGTATTATTACCAAAGTTAACCTTCAGATATGTGTAAAGGCTGCAATTATGTTTGAACCCCATTAAATATACTGTATATATACTGAATATTCTATCATATTATATATTATGTCATTTATCTTCCAACATAATAAAGTTTGAATGTGAGACAGTAATGTATTGTGTTACAGGTTTAAATTCCACATTTTCATATTGATAGATGTTACACGAACCAGGTTTTCAACTCTTGTACATCCAGGAAATCTTCATAAAACCTCTGTGAAATAACATGTTATTTATAAAACCACACTTATTACTGAATTTAAAAATGACCGAAACTCTTCTTAAAAGTAAAACACTTAATTTATGTTTCGTTCATATTCCAGTTACACATGTTGCAAGTAACAAAGCTACAACTTTTATGTAAACTGTGCAGATCGTGTCCTTCAGACTGTCCTGATGCTGCAGCTGTCTCTGGGTCCAGGAACACCTGAGCTTCATCAGGTCACCTGTAAAACTAGGCAAATTCAGAGGTACTTGTAAGGCAGCATATGATATACAGTATAATATAATACAGTATAATATAATACAAGTACAACAGCTCATTGTGGTTCAAAGTAGTCCTAAGTTATAAAATAAAATAATAAAGCAGTGTTTGACTCCACAGAACAGCCTAGCGAGTGTTGTAGTTACACAATATTACTAAACTAATGAGTCCCTGCAGTTTGACTACTTCTCTCTCACAGTAGCTCTATTGTTAACTCTGGTGCACGTAGATCAAGTTCATTTACACATCGTAACACACACACACACACACACACACACACACACCGTCTCTGGAAAACAACAAAGCTAGCCCCAGCTGGTTAGCACGTAAGCAAGTTACACAAACAGAAAAGAATCACCATAACTCACTCCCGGTATTTTGGTAGCTTCTAACGAGGGTTATCGATCACACTGCCCCTCATATTACATCATAAAGTCCGACAGACTCAGTAACCATAGTAACACAGTGACATCACAGAGCTGCTGTGTGCTAATCAAAGCTACAATGCTACCAAACTAATGACCTCCGCTGCTGAATTACACACAGTACGGTGTCTTCTTCTGATCACAGCTGTATTGATCCACACGGTGGACAGATACTGAGCTACCTAGCAGATAATAAGTTACCAGTTACAAAGACAATTAAACCTAAATGACGTTATCTTCCCTGGAATTCCCTCCAGCACGAAGCTTGTTGATTCACGGCTTAAACTTTGTGTGAATCTCTAAAATATCAGCAGGGGAGAATATGGAGACATCTGCACCAGCTGGTTAATAAATGAACCTCACCTTATAAGTTTCATGTTCATCTTGCAAACATTTAACAAACATTTAACAAACCTTTAACAAACAATAACTACGTTAGCATCACTGAGGCTCCTGTAGCTAACAACCGTTAGCATGTGCTAGCATTACACGAACAATGAAAAACAAAGTATAAATTCTTAAAAATCCTTCCAGTGACTTCCTCTGCCGTCTCTCCACAGACAGTTGGTACAATCCCTCTTTCAGGAACAGTCTTTCAGGAACAGTCCACTGTTGTACTGACTGAGGTTGTGAAAACAGTCCCACACAAAGTGGTTCATACACGAATCCAGTGGCTCATACAGATTTATGTTGGGCTGTGCAGCCATTGACTGAACAGTTTGTCTGCTGAAGCCTTTGCCCAGACATTAGGCTGCAGGCTGCAGGCTGCTGGCTGGGCTCGCTTGCTTGTTCTCGGCTAGCTTGCTCTTTTTTTTTTTTTTTTTTCTCAAATATGTTTATTGAGCTTTTATATATTGACATAACCACAACGATAAAACAACAACAACAATGCTCAGTACAACATTGGTCTAGACAGTCTATACAATATTTACATCTCACATGCACCCGACCAGTACAATGAATAGGAAATAAATAAAAAAATAAGAAATAAAAAAATACACCCTAGTTCACAATTCTGGAAGTTTAAAATGACGAGGTTGCAAGTACAGTGTTAAGAGCAAGACACAGGAAAAGAGCCAAAGGCTTGCCACGGACAACACTCTTAAACATTGAAGCCACTGTAGAGCTGTAAAAGTGAAGATATGGAGTCCAAATGTTCATAAACTGTCCCTCTGAAGAGTGAAGCAGACAGGTCAGGTACTCAAGGGGAAAACATTCCATAATTATCTTACGCCAGTTTGATTTAGTAATGGGTTTGTCACTTATCCAAGACAGAAAGATGTTCTTCCTTGCTGCATATGTGAGGATATTATACAGTCTGGTAGAGTTAGCGTCCACAATAGTATGGGGTAACCCAGGATTAAAGAGAGAGGGTCCATGTGCAACACAACACCAAATATATTTTCCAGATCTTGCAAAACATCCACCCAGTATGCTTGAATTTTAGGACAAGACCAGATACAATGAGTATAGGTGCCCACTACATTTGAAACATGCAGGTGAGAGTGTAGAGTTCATTGTATGTCTTTTATTAGGAGAGATTTGTAAACGGTGCACAATCTTAAATTGTAGCAATCTGACACGGTTACACACAGATATTTTCTTTGTTTGAGTCCATATCTTAGTCCATTTATCCCCATCAATATCTATACCAAGTTCACCTTGCCACGTCTGCATAACATCCTGTACATTCATCACATCAGTCTGGCTTAAGACATTGTAAATAGCTTGCTCTTTTATAGTAACAAGGGCAGAGCTCCGATAGTCAACACAGGAAGTAAACTGTGGTGGGTGGCAACATAACTGACGTCAATAACGGGGAAAACGTCATTAACGGGGAAAAATCTGAACAGACTGCTTTATCGCCTGTATTCGGACTGAGGCAGCCCACAAAAACAGTCATATTTTTTCCCACTTTTCCTGCAGATAGGCCCTCCAGAGTCCCAAATGTACATAAATGAATAAAAAGTTGGTTTTGCATAATATGTCCCCTTTAAGGCGTCCAATATTGATTTGTTACTCTCGATGCCCCTTTTGTATTCACTCCAGGCATACATGGCATTCATGTGTTGCTCTGACTTTGAGTGAACTTTAAACCCGACATCTTTAAACAAGTCTTTTTTCCAGTTTGAGAACCCTGACTTGGACGTGAAGGCTGATTCCGGTGTACCAGGGATGGAAAAAAGCCTGCAGGCGAAAAAGTGACTACCATTTCAACTTACAGAGTACTCCAGCCATAGATTGTCCCTATACCAAGAGCTGTTGAATGCCCTCTTCCTTATTCCATGTAGAGTTCTTGGGAACATTTTCAGACATGGCTGAACAGGACCCTCCTCTCTGGATCTTGAGATGTCTAGAATATATATTAAGTAGTTATGGACACACATCTGAAGGGATTAAATACTGAAATACAAGATTAAGTACTATGGCTAACAGTGGATAATTTATAGGTTTATGTGTAGACCATTTGCACATTCATTTTGACATGAAAAGCTTCTGTTCAATTTAAATGAAGCTGAATCTGGACCTTAGGCTAATTAATGCCATTAGTAGCACCTGCGTTTGCCTTACGATATCATGTCAGAATAGCTGCTGTTAAATAGGTTCATATGTAGGTAAGTAATTATTGGCCTACCACTTGGTCCTTTTTTTGCACAATATGTGGTACTTGATGTGGATGTGGGGGGTTCGGTGGCATCTCCTAGCAGCTCTGGCTCACTGTCTTCCTCCTCAGAGGCGGAAGTTTCAGTGACTCATCCCATGATGAAACTGCATTGTAATAAATATAGATACAGTCAAAATAAATAAAATAACAATAAAATAACATCACACACAAAATCATCTTTTGTTACAAGCTACACCTTTCAATGAACTGGGCATGCAATTTACTGCCTCTGTATGCTCTGACCTGGTGGTGGTAGACTGGGTCCTCCTTGTGTCCTTGCTAGTTTCATGTTGGGAGCTGGCTGGGGTCTGTCTGTGCCTGATCTGTGCCTGATTTGTTTTTTTTAGCAAAGAAGTTGGAAATATCTCCCTTCCTCTTCATTGTTATCTGTCCCTGTACAAAATAAGACAGCCTGGTTACACCTTAAGCTTGTGTTAGGCTAAACTATTTGTCCCCATTCTCGTGCTGTAGCTTAAAATCAACTACTAGCCTACCTACTATAAAATTACACTGGATCATGTAGGCTGTCAGCACCAAAGTAACTTTAAATTAATAAATTTAGACCTTCACAATAGCAAACAAGCAACATGGACATTGAGATAATCTCTGGGCCTCTATTACATTATTATTATTATTTGAGCTCTACTCAATTCTTGCAAATTGAGTTGATTTAAAGTCCCTAAATACACTTACTGAAAACTAATTATGATGTGGTTTCCCATATTATCCTAATCTAGTGCTTCTCTAAATGTGCCTTCAGATTGTCAACAGTTTAAAACAATGACTCATTAGGAAACAACTTTAAAACTTAGTTCATAATGATGTATTCACTGAAAGTGTGTCTTCTCCATCCATGCCAGTGACTTGAAAGACGTTTATTCTGCCTTCTCTGTTTGCGTTTAGAAATCGCGCTGTTTTCGACGTGGCGTGCAGTGACCTGTCAATCAACTGGGGTGGCACCCGAGGTGTCCAGTCTGGTTCCAGAGGTGGCCTCCCCTCTAGCTCTGCCCCTGGTTTTAAACAGATCAAATGTTTAACTTTTTTCCCCACTTTCACTGTTAAAATGTTAAAAGGGCCAGCTCTACCTTGAGTAGCTACACTAGTAAAAGGCCGTAGTAATAATAATTCAATATCATATTCTAACACTGACTGTGTGGTCTTTATGCTGCTTTTACTCCAGATACTTCCTAATCCACCAGCGTGAAGATGATTTCGGCAGGATTTTGGCAAACCAGTGAATAAAATACTTTTGGTGCACCTGAGAAGTGTGGCTGAAAAAGATACAAAGTGGGAAGTTGTTTCTTAAACAAAGCAGTTTTGCTCACAGCATGCATCAACATTAAGCGTGTTTGGAAATGGTTCCACTGAGTACAAATGGTAATCTTTGAAAGCTGGAGTCCCTGGAGCACAATGGATTCAATTAAAGTTACTCAGATTAGAAATGCATCATATAATTTATCATAAAACTGATACTAATCAATCAAAAAAGCCTTGATTGGCCCATGTTGTGATCCTGTGAATTGGCCCAGGACATCCTCACTCAATATCCTTTAGACTACCTGTCATCAAAGCTGTAATCAGTCATCGGTATGCAAATATGCCTATAATACTGGACCTCTCATTCCTTCTGTTTTGCTTATATTTCATGATTAAATTAATTAAATCCACAATATTGCACTTTTCAAACACTCTCTCGCCCACACTCCATCTCTGTCAGGTCTTTAGCTACAAAGCCAGAGGGACTGCCTGTATGAAATCAAACAATCTCTATGGAGAGATATGAAGCAAGAACCATCAGTAAGATGAGCAAATCATAACAGTGAAAAGACTAATTTACAAAAGACAGGAAAAAAAGTTATTTAATTTTAACTTTTGATCTATTGTATAACCATAGACTCTAAATAAAAATGGATGTAGTTTTCATGACGTCAACCACTTCAGCCAATCAGCTCAACAAACACTATAAAGGAACTCAAACATTTCCACCTGAGCTAAGCGTAAAAACTTGTTTGACATTTAGACTTCCTAATTTCCCTTGTTTGTAGTCATGTTCTTATTCTTTATTCTTGAGGCTGAACTGTGTAATTACGGCAATGACAGACACCATTGCTGTGCACACTGGCCCACAAAAACACAGCACAAAAACACGCAGGTCAGCACGCCAGCATACATAAAAAGGTAAGCTAACATTGCATCGAGAGCTGTAGCGTACATAATAATACATTTTATTTAAAAGGCGCCTCTCTGGGCACTCGAGGACACCGTACAACACATAAAAAATAAAAATAGAAAGAAATAAGAAACAGATAAGAGACAATGTAGATACAGTCCTGCTCATCATTATTGGCACCCCTTCATTTTTTGCATAACCTCTGCAATATCTTCAGAAATAAATAGAAATGTATCAAATTTATATCATCAGGATCTTTTAATTGGAGGTCCAAAGTAATTTAACGAAGAAAATTGTATTTTCAACTTACATATTGTAATTTCAAAGAAGAAACAGAAAAAACAGCATGTGCAGCCATAATGGCATCCCTCTTTAATATTTGGTTGCACACCCATTGGCAGTGATGACAGCCTCCAAACATTTCTTGTAGCCATCTATAAGCTTCTTGCACTTCTCAGCTGGTATTTTCTCCCACTCTTTCTTTGCAAATTGTTCAAGCTCTTGAACGTTTCTTTTCCCCAATGGCAGATTTCAGCTCATACCAAAGATTTTCAATCGGATTGAGATCAGGACTCATTGCTGGCCATTTTAAAACAGTCCATTTTTTCCCTTTTCAACCATTCCTACGTGCTTTTGGATGTGTGCTTTGGGTCTTTGTCTTGCTGGAGGACCCATGATCTTCGACTCAAACCAAGTTTTCTTACACTGGGTAGGACATTTCGCTCTAAAATCTTTTAATTCTCTGATTTCATGATTCCTGTGATACGGTCAAGGCCTCCAGTACCAGATGCAGCAAAGCAGCCCCACAGCATTACGGACCCTCCACCATGCTTAATTGTTGGTAGGGTGTTATTTTCCGTGTAGGCTTCATTGCGCCATCTGTAAACAAACTGTTTGTGTGCATTGCCAAAAAGCTCTATTTTTGTTTCATCTGTCCACAGAATATTCTCCCAGAAGGATTGTGGTTTGTCCAGGTACTCTTTGGCAAAGATTAGTCGTTCCTTTTTATGCCTTTTCCTCAGCAATGGTGTCTTCCTTGGCCTTCGCCCATGAAGCCCTGTTTGGTTTAGTGTGCGGCGTATGGTACTTGTTGAAACCATGATCCCAGACTGTTCCAGGTTGGCCTTCAGGTCTTTGGATGTTTGACGTGGTGTTTTGTCCACCATTCGCACCAACTTCGAAGACTTCTCTCATCAATTTTTCTCTTTCCCCCACGTCCAGGGAGGTTCTTGACAGTTCCATGCTTGGCAAACTTCTCGATAACATTACGCACTGTTGTAACAGGGATACCAAGGTATTTGGAGATGGCCTTATACTCTTTGGAGGTCTTGTGTTTGGTAATTATCGCACTTCTGATGTCCTCAGACAGCTTCTTTGTTTTCACCATTGTGACAAAGGAACAGGGGATAACAGATGCCTTTTTAAAACACAGAAGTCATCATTCATTGGCTAATTCATGTCACATGGGCACAGACAATTTATCACAGGTGATTCTCATTTGTGATTTACCACAGGTCACAATGTGTTTCCATACTGATTTACAGCAAAGGGTGCCAATACCAGTGACACAGCTAGCTCCCATTGTTTATTGTTTTAAATTGTTGTTTATCATTTGCTCTTTAGTATCAAACATGAGTTCTCTATAGAACAGAAATGTTTCACTTGATTCATTTTGTTCAGAAGATATTCAACATTATGTACTTAAACTTCATGGGTGCCAATAATGGTGAGCAGGACTGTAGTTAAGTGGGGTATGCAGTTCTGAATAGGTGAGTTTTTAGTCTTGATTTGAAGAGGGGGAGAGATACATACAGGAACATACATCACTTTCAGTTGGCTATATTGGTTGTCATGTTGTTTTATCACAACTAAGCTGCAAAGATTATTTTTATATTTAAGAGTTTTTCCTATATTCTTAGAAAAATATATGCAGGCCTGTAAAGCTCTATGCTGTTGATCAGAATGAAATGGCAATAATTGTCCACCTAATGTCACTATTTAAAATTGGGATGTGGGCAGCAGTTCAAATAAACTTGACCTGACACAATTCAGCTCAGATAATCAAAGACTCTGCTTTTTCTGCACACCACATTATTTAATTGATATTTTACATCTATCTGTAATTAGTTACATATTCAGTCATTTTGTGGCTCAACAAAATGTAAAAAGACTCAAGCAGCATCATTAAATGATAAAATAAAATAATCAAGGGAAGTAAGAGAATCAAGGATTTTTGTGCAGGTGGAAGGTGTTAAAATTAACCAATAGTCTACTTATCAGAAAACCTATTTTATAGGCAGATATATGGTTATGTTAATACACAATCAACTCAAATTATGCATGATATTTGGGGGTAAAATATCTGCCCATGTTTGCTGTCTTTAATGAAGTAGACATTGAGGCATTTTCTAAAACAGTACTTGATATTATGATTTATCCTCATCGTTTTTGTATCTGATTGTGGGCTCAGTATATACACATATTGAAAAATCATTATGATTTCCTGCAAACAACCTGTACCCTCTAACACAGAAATTGTGAACTACAGTAACCACTGAGCATTAGTGTGAAACCAAGGAGAGGGAGTGATGGACAAGGAGCCTCGGAACTGCCTGCTGAGCAGCACTTTACTCTGTTCCACTAGCTAGAGCTGCCTGCTGTGTGCGCACACACACATGCGCGCCACACACACACACACACACACACACACACACACAGCCCAAAGCCATACATCTACAAATGTCCACTGTAGCTCAATAGCTTAATCCAACTTTCTTCCAGATGGCAATGTGTGACGGTACTGGAGCACCTACCTCTTCATCCTCTTCCCAAGCCAGTATGTGCACCTCCTGCTCCACTGTAGGTAACATTCACTGAGGGCTCGGATTCCAGTTTACAAGCGAAGGTTCACTGTAATGTCTGGATCCAGATGGAAGGTTCACTAGTAATGGTTTTAACTAATACACAACCCTACAGATACACAATTCAAGAATATACACTAATTGACTTGTTGAACAGACCTAAAAAGATGGAAACCATTATTTGAAGCATTATGGTTTGTGTTATGTGTCCCTTGTGTTTGCCAATTTAGTTGCAGAAGTGTATCCACAGATTTTAGCTGATCAGGAAGAAGCCGACCACATAATACATGAAATATTTACTTGAGAAACAAATCTCAAGTGCCTTCTTAATGAAAGAATGCCTCCATAATGTAGGACCTTGTCCTCGTCTTCCTCTACAAGAGACGCTTTGTCTGTCTCTTAATTCAACAATCATCATATTATTTTGATTTTGTTCCACCAGGAGAGTTTTCAAGGCCTCCTCTTTCCCTTTGACCTTTTTGACCCAGGAGGGGAGGTGAGACTGTGGCGCCGACAGTCTCCTGCACAGAGAGCCTGGTTCTTTTCAGATTCTCAGATGGGATCTCTAAGGTGTCAATATGTTTTATCCTCTTTAACAGAACACTGACTTCTCCACAGATCAGAACGACACCCTACACCTAAAGTGGATCGTGTGTGATAACATAAATGCCTTTTGATTGTAAATCAGGGTTAGATATCCCTGAAATGTGTTTACATCTCTTTTAGTCTGACAGGTCCACCTCCAGAGAGAAACTCCTCTGGAATCCACATCTGGCCTTCTGACACCCCTTCCTCTAAAGTGTGAATTACGATGTTTTCTGTTGATAGTGGACATTCCAATCTAGGAAGCAGTAACAGCAGTTGCACAGATATAGATTTAGTTCTGTTGGAGTATTATGGTAAAATTTCATCTCCTCCTAATTAACCGATTGCCATCCAGCATGAGAAGGACGCAAATGTAATGTTTGTCTGATGTTTCTGTCATCAGATTGGACTAAGTTACAAAATCATGTGTAAAATGTCTGAATGTTTGATGGAGCCACAGTGCCACCTTTTGGTAAGGTTCTGGTATAGCGTAAGGTACTTTCAAAACGAACTTTGTTTGATAACTGTATAGTAATACAATAAGTAAATGCCTGACACATATTTGTTATAACAAGGATTAAGCTAGCACTATACGAAATATGTACAGTCCATCAGTGCTGTTTTGTGTGCGTGTTTAATGATTAATGATTTAATGACTTTAATCAGTTCCACTTTTCTTTTACATTAAGTAATTTCGGTTATGTTATGTTAAAACATGTGAACTATGTATTAAGTCATGGTGGGTTCTGTGAACGGTGAATTATGATCTCGAAGTGACGCGCGGTCAGCTCCTCTTGTCCAGTTCCGCCTCAAGAATAAAAGCTATAAGAGATAGACTCCGGTCACTCTTCACTCTTCTCTTGCGCGCTTTTCTTTCTCTCTTGTATCAACTAGTTATTTATTCTCGCTTTTCTTTAATTTCCGTACTTTATTTTACTTCGTTTGCGACACGGGTTAATTTTTCCTCAAGTAATAACTTGCCGTGCTGAAGTACTTTTCAAGTACTTTTATTTTGAAAGCTCAAGACACAAACGAATTTCTTCTTTTATATTTTTGTAGTCTTATCGTCAAGTATTGTCGCCTTTTCACAGAAAGTGAATTTAATCAAATTCTTGGACTTTCTTGGAGAATTCGCCAGCCCAGCGTTTCATCCTCCAGTTATTTTTAAACAAGAAGCTGAATTAGTTTACAGTCAAAGCTGAAGACCAACCACTCTAAGACATTCATCATCAGCCAGAAGGACGTCGCAGTAGTTGACTGCTCAAGAAGACGTATAAACGTTTCCAGCCGAATAAAGACATTATTCTCCAGCCACCTTGCCCCCAACGCTCACTAGCGCACACGCCGCGCTGGGCCTTTTGGAGAGATTGCCACTGGAACCAGGGACGAGACGCAACTTCCCTCAGCCTGTTGGACCAGTGACGCAAAGCCGCAGTTGAGCTGAAAGCCAAGGACCTGGAATCCTTCCAAGTTCCATCTACAAACAAAGTAGGCTGACTCTCCGGTACACGGCCGGATTCCACATGAAGAAGAGCTGGTGTCTGTCTGTAGCTTTGATTCCCATCTTTACGTTTAAGAGAATTTTGGATTAGGGCCTCTCAGTTCTAAAATTTACTCTCGTATATTTTAAACTTACTGCCACATCGCAAAATCCACCATCGCTCCTGAATCACCTAATAGTAATAATTCTATATTGTCCACATATTCTGTTACTTGTTGTCATTTGTTTGTTTATCATTTCTGCTATTTACTCTGCATTAGTTTAGTTAATAAACATATATAACCGTATGTCCTTGTTGGGCAGGTTTGATTTGATGCGGGAAATCGATGAATCGTGTAAAAGAAATCACTACTTCGAAATATGAGATTAAATATAGATTTTGAAACTTAATAAATTGATTTAAAATTGATTTGATTAGATCGGCGGAATAATTTCCTCCGGATTATTCCAGTAGCTAAACAAGGGGTGGTGCCCCATTTCGGTGTATTATTAATCACTGTGATTAAATACTAATAATAATGAAAAAGTGTGTCCTACAATAATAATAACAACAAATGTCTCCTCAATTAGATTTGAATGAAAATAAAACAAAATAAAGCCTGCCGCTATCATTGGACAAGCCAACGTCTTGTACAAATAGAAGTAAGATTTGCCCTAATCCAGATAACAGTTTTTATAATGTCCAAGTATCTTTTAAAGGGGTATTTCAATGCAAATTATGATACCAAAATTGTCATGTTGTCATGTCTCCTCTACTCAAATAACATTTATTTTAAATATTTCAGACATTTAAGCTTCACTGGGCAGAATAATGCGTGTGCAGAGTTTGATACTAGTAGTACTGTATTCACCTAAAATCTCAGCGTAACACACGTACATATGAGCAGGATTTTGAGACCTAGTTTCAAAGCCGTGGTCCAGTACATGTGAGTGATGTGGAAGCTTGAAACCTTTAGTGACCAAGGCTGAGAATGGAATATTTCATTGAAGTCTAGGAGATTTCTTGTGATTAATGATTAAACTCTAATATGGAAGCTGAGACTGCCTTGCTTGTCTTTTTTTAATTCCTCAAGATAACAAGTTGTTTCAATATATTGAGAAAACAAGCCTTTTCTCCAGAGATATCGGCCTATTATCAGGAGAAAACAAAAGGTCATATCCAATTACTACTTACAGGGTTTCAGAGATCAGGAGTGCCATGTCAGCATGCATGGATGGCATGGAATAGATGTAGCATTGGTTCAACATAATGGACAATGCATGCAGGAATGACTTGCACTGTGCCAGATAATATTCATTTTCATACTGGACTGACTGGCCACCCATGAAATCTGAACGCCACCCCATTATCCTAACTTCTTCCGCTCTGCACGGTTCAAAGGTAGATAAATTGGAACGACGTCATGCTAGCTTGTCGGGAAGTGGGGTAAAAACATATAGCTGATACGAGAAATAGTAAATGAATGCTATTCCGATGTGTGTGGGCGCACACATACTTCATGATACCCCTGCATAAGGTAGTCAAAAATGTCTGGACACGTCCCTGCATGACAGTGATCTTAAAGGCTGAAATCAGGTGTGATCAAATGAACCAAATGAAGTACATTTATTTTTTAAACATGCACGTAAACACATATACATTGTCATCATGACAGGTTTTTAAAACGTAAAATATACACATAATTTCCTCCCTGCAATCAGAGTTCATTTCTCTAATAAGTATAAGTATGAATATCACATCTGCTGCTGATGATTCTTCTGAATAACATGAAAATAACTAAGTAAGGCCTACAAAACTGTTAAAAGGCGTTTGTGGAAGCTTTTCAGTTTTTTTCCTCTTGACCATGCAGTCCAAGACCCATTCGAGTCGACCCACCAGCTGAGAGAGCATACTGTAGTGAACAATGTGTTGAATGACGCCGGAGGAATAATAATAAAGCTGGATTTATCCTTCTAATTAAAATTAAAAGGAAAAGACCACATCCAGAAACCAAAGTACTGGATGTGGTCCTATCCTTTTGGTCTGGTTTATTTAACTTTACACTCCCCTTTGAAAGTAGCACCTTCTCTTCAGCCCTCAGCTGTCAAACTATGCACTAACTGTACCATCTTTTATTTGTCACTCTCTTACGTCTGCTAATAATTCTTAAATATTGTACCATTGCTTCAGAATCAAATGTTTTCCAATCTGTTGATCTCCTTAAATTTTTAAGATACATCTTGTTTCCTGTTTGTATTTACTGCATGACACTCAATGTAATAGACCTAATGATAACTTATTTGTTTGCACTGTATTTTTGATTTTCAAATTAAATTTAAATTAATTTCTAAATTTGATATATCACACACACTAAGATGTGCCATAATTTATACTGCTCATTTCCCTTTATTGCCCATAACAATATTTGCTTTTGTTTTCATTTTTAATAAAATATATTTTTCAGCATGAATCTGTATTTACTCTGGATAAAATGATTTTGTTCAGCCTCTTTGTCATGCAGATTATTGCACTCTCTACCAAAGTCTGGTAATTTGGGTAGCACTAAGCATTATTTCATTTCAAGAATGTGAGAAAGCTACAATAACAGACTGCCTTGCCCGTGGGCCAGCTGCTAAAAAAGTGCATCTACATTATTGAATCAGTGGGGGTTCAGTGTGTTTGGCAGAGTGTAACGGCACAGAGATTCGTAGATGTAAGTGCTGTAATTCATCTGGTAATGATTTATCATTCTCATTTACTTCTTAACTGTCTTGACTACCTCCTCGAGCTAAAAATAGATTTGAATTTCAAAGGAACTCTTGAGCTGAATGAATTGAAATATGGTCGTACCTTATCCCTTTCCATGTCTCCTTAATTCCCCTGCCGGCTCCAGGAATTATAGGATGGCAGGTACACGGCAGCGAGCCAGCTACCCCTTAAAGTTCCCCGAAAGACACTTCTTAGGCTGGCTCATCAAACTGTGTGCGCTGGCTTATCGATCTTTCCCAGGCTTTCAGGAAGAAAGAGAACAGGAGACGAAGCGGAAGATTCAAGCTGTGCTGCCACAACAGCAGGACAAGAAGCCATGAAAGAGGAGACGGAGACCAAAACCTTGACACAAAGGGCCGGGAAGAGTGAAAAGAGACAAACACACATGCACTGACATGAACGCATGGCTCTCTTTTCATCACTGTCTGTGTGTTGTGTGCCCTTGGGCTAACTAAAGTTTGATTGTGCGGTAATATAGCTTGGCTGAAAACTCTCAGTAAACACACCTTGACGCTTGTGTGTGAATAACTGTGCCAGGGCCAAAAACGGTGAGCAATAGTTTAATTGAATTTGCTTACAGCAATATACAGAATAGTAAAAGCTAAGGCCACATTCACAACTCTTGAAAACACCCAAACTGGCAATCAACCCCCCCAACCCCACCACCGTCAAAAAATAAAATAAAAAATAAAACCACACCTACATAACAGCTTTCGGCCAGTTCCCAGATCTAGATCCCAGTAGAGCTTCTTTTGAGACAGGAGAACCAGAATCTTCAAAGTGTAAATTTCCACTGAAAAATCTGCAAGAACTGCTTGAGTCAGCATGTTCCAAGGCCTTTTTGAAAAGTTTCCAACCTCATGCTGAATTTGAGAAATTCCTTAGAAAAGAGGAAGCTCACAGTGCAGTCAGACAGTTCAAAACATGGTCAGAAGAAGAAAAGTACTAAAAAGAAAACAGTGATTAGACTTGGTTTGATTGAAACAGTGACCAAGAAGCACAATCTTTGCATAGAAGTTCAGTATTTTTGGACATGAACAGTTTAAAAATCAAATCAAATTGATTGGTAAAGCTTATTTAAAAACAACCCTTGTTGTGCTGTACAAACCAGAGCAGGTAGAGAAGACCATAATTAAGTCATTAGTTTCTGACTCTTTTGCTTTCTGCCCAACCATCCACACTGACCTCCTTTATACAACTAATGCGCAGCATAACTGTGAATGTAAATGCTACTCCGTAATGGCTCTGTCACGGTTTCAATGTTCCCAAGAAACGTTTCAGAAGTGGAGCATCTGTGCTTCCGCAGCCACGTTTGAAATGTAGTTTGGAGTTGACATTTTTCAAGTATGATTAAATGTTTGTAACTCATTTAGATGGTAATTGATGCTTCTTGGCTGTTCCTAAATATGACAACAATTTAGCTACCCTTCTGTGATCGCTCAAATATCACTTTAATGTCAATGGCTAATCTCACTGCTGTCATTAACCTGTATTTTCATGTTGCAACAAGTCCTCCAAATTAAACAACAAAGACAACTGTCCTTTAACTGTCCTCTCAAACACTGGTTCCTAACCTGGTTCCCCTGACCTTCACTTAGGGTCGCCAAAGGTCAAAAGGCCTTCTTGATTTTAGGGGGTGTTTTTAAAAAAAATATACAGTAGGTTTATATCTCAGCATTTCATTTATTTCTATGAAGAATACTAAATCCAATTGTTATTTTTAAAGTGTGCATTATTATTTAAGATAGAAACCTATGAAAAAAACCTCACAGGATGAGGGTACAATGAATTTAAGCTATATTGACGCATCCTTTGCTCTCTGCTAAACAGCCTTGTCCTACATTAGAAAAGTGCACAGTTAAAACAACCAAAGACTAGAACAATGGCCAAGCATCAAGGAGAAGAAAACACACAAAAAAGAAGCCTGTTAAGTCTGTATGATTGTTAAAAAAATAAATAAAACATAATACAGACAGAGAATTCTATAAAAAAAATCCAAATAATATCAGGAAACCTAATCTCTGATCAATATTCACAGGAAGTAATCTGCTCAAAATGTATCCAAATCACTCATTTTATACAAACTTCCTGCAGTTACTGTGTTCACTGCTTGGGTTCATTGAACAGTTTTTCGTCATTATGTGCTGTTATTGTTATGCATTGAATATAATATCAAAAATAGTTTACCTAGTCATAGGTCTTCAGTTTACTCAATGATAGAAAATGGGGACCCATTTTCTAACAGAAAGAGATTGGGAACCACTGCTGACGCCCCCTATCCGCAAGACAACATCATTTGTCTGTGCCTTGCAAAACCACATGATCTCATGAGTCCAGCTGCATTGCAAGGTTAGTGTAAGGGACTACAACTTGAAATTCAGTAATTACATTACACATAGGCCTACTAATACAAGTAATACTCCAGCATATTGGGGACAGGCTTGTTTGTTCTAATCAAGAGTTGGATTGAATGGGGGTATGCAGGTATGGGGTACTTAGATAAAATAACTTTATAAGGAAGACAGGATGTGAACATCCAGTGAACTTCTTGATCTAGACATGTAAATTCATGTAAGTTATGTAAGTTCCCAAGAGGAACTAAAGGTTAAAAAAATAAATTGCAGGTAAATTCCTGAAAGTGATAACGTTCTCCCTCACATCATCTGTCGCTTTCTGTAAGGCTCTCTGAAGTTACATCTGCTATCAAACACTGATGGGGCTGGTTGGGTTTCTTCACATGTTTCTTCCACGTGTAGAGAAATAAACATCTGGATACACCCGTACACAGGAATACACACAGCCTGACACAAAGGTGCATGTGCACAATTAACAGATGGTTAAACAACAAACAGCCAACTGGACGCACACACACTCAACATCAACATGCCCACATGTTCTGGGCCAAACTTAAGTCAACACAATCTTAAAATCATTATTCCATTAGGTAAAGACTGTAGTTTACTCAGTATACTCTTACGGAGTGGTTACAGTGTGTGAAACTGTGCTGTCCCCAGCTGGGGCAGGGGAAATGCCACTTACCCACCACCATAGATATCTGGGTTCAAAAGAGCAGCTGGCGAGACCATATGTCAGGAAGGTAGCACATGTCTGTCTCCTCAGGCTAAAAATAAGAGTTGGCAGTGAATCACAACTGACTGAAAACAAAAAAAATTACAATAAATAAGAACCCTGGTTTTCTTCTAAACAGATTCATTCATTCGTTTGTTTGTTTGTTTCATTTATTGTCCACAATGTGGAAATTTGTCTTTGGTCTCATAAAAACAACAAGCAGGACAGCAACAACAACAACAACAACACTTACACTCAAACAACTTCAGGGCAAAAAGCAGGACAGTAATGGCAGTTACATTAAGAAAGCATCAACAGGACATAGTGTTCAGTTCCCCAATGGCACTCGGGATGAAGGAATTTTTAAAAATATTACGATTTGCCCTTGGTACTTTGTATCGTCTACCAGAGGGAAGAAGTTCAAACTCCCAGTTAAGTGGATGAGAGGGATCGTTTGCTATTTTGACAGCTTTTTTCCTAAGCACATCCTCATACACACAACTTAATTGTTTCTGTCTTATACCTATGATTTTTGAGGCTATGTTTACTATTCTCTGCAGCTTGCTTCTTCCGTTTATGTTTGGATTACCGTACCACATTGCCATGTTAAAAGTTAGGATGCCCTCTATCAGGTTCTTATAAACTGTTTCCATAATATGCTTGCTCACTCTAAAGGAGTTGAGCTTGCGTAGTAAGTGGAGACGCTGATTACAGGTTTTAAAAATATAATCAGTGTTTTCACTGAAATTTAGGTTGCAATCAATATATGTACCTAAATATTTGAACTTGTTTACTACCTCTACAATTTGTCCCTTAATTATAAGGGGCTGCACAGGGTCCTTTGCATGAAAGACAAGTTCCTGTGTTTTTGTTACATTGATCTCTAAAAAGCTTTCATCACACCACTTCAGGAGAGATGACACATATATACTTCCTCTCCCACTGTGTCCCCCTTCTTCAATAAGGCAACCAGGGCCATATCATCCTCATACTTAAACAAACGAAACTTTTCCAGATCTAATTGGAATTTGTTTGTGTATATCGAGAAAAGTAATGGGGATAAAATAGTCCCCTGCGGGGCACCAGTATTTTTTTTTGTTTTTTTTGTTTCACCAGTCAAAACATATAACAAGACAAATACACATTGTGTACGCTAACATGCTCTCAGTGACAGTGCTAACAGCTGTTAAGCAGGTTGTTAAAATGCAAAACTTTTCAGAGAATGTACAGAAGTACAGAAGATGATGGGAATATAACGTTTCGTCTCAAACTGTACTGAACAAAGAATGAAAAGAATCTGACCTGACAATATTATTGTCATCCACCGGGGGACATGAATGTGTGTAACAAATTTCACGACAATCCATCTAATAGTTCACATTTTACTCAAAACCACAAATATCAACCTCATGGTGGTGATAGAGAAGAGATCAGAATCCGAATCAGATCCGCAGAGTCATTGGGAAACATCCTCTGAGGTAGGAATTTCAATTCATCTATTATATACTCAGAAATGTTGCAGCTTAGCTAGCTTGCTAAAAACTATCCATAAACACAAGTGAATTGCATGAATGGATGGATGGTCAAACCCTTGACATCATGTTTACTTTAGGCCTGACTACAAACTCCCTCTCACTGATATCCATCCAGGCAATTTCTCCAATTCAGAAGTTGTATTTTGTAATAACCAGTGTGCTTAAAAAGTCTCATTTATCTTTTCTGATTTATAATCAAATATAGTTCACCCTTCTAACACAAACGATCTGGTCAATAATTTCAACAACCTGTGTTCCTTAGCATTAGATACCATTGTACCTAATAAAAACAGGTCAGTAGCAGCCACCAAATCATCCCTGTGGATGGATGAAGCTATCTGTAGCTGTACAGAAGACTCCTGGAGGGCTAAACACAGATGGAAAAGACTAAACTTCACTTTCTACACATGAAAGAGCTTCTGACTCTGCAGAATCACAAAGTTAAGGATCCAGCTTCTTTTTTAGAATTAATTCCTACTAATGAACACAATCCCTGGGCTCCATTTAGCACAATTGATCAGCTTGTACAGCCTGCTCCTGCTGCTCTCTGCCACCTCAACTGAAGATTGTAAATTATATTCATTTTTTGTAAATAAAATCAACAGCATCAGATCCAACATTGTGCCCCCGTTCTCCCCTTTTGATCTTGTAGTATTCCCAATCTGCTAACCCACTTTGCCCTCATCACCGTGAAATGCACAACTTCATAGAGACTCTCATCTGCACCTGTAC